GTGAATGTGTGTTAAATTTTGAGTCTACTAAAAGCACTCAAACACTGAAAATCATTGAATTGTTAGTTTTAAAAAACAAATGATTAATTTTTTTAACAAATCAAACTGTAACAGTTTTTTGAATGTCTCTGTAGCTTTAATAATATTAATATGTCCAGATATGCACAAACATTAAAGGAACTCTCCTTTATGTAAAAATCAGTAGCCTACTATTCCTTGAACACTTTTGTGATCACTTTGTTGAATCCCCTTATTTTTTTAGTGTACAAATCACACAAAAAGTGGAACAGTAGGATACATCACAGGTGAGTGCTGAGATGTAAGTAATGGAATAGTAATGATCCGTCAGTTTAATGGATCTGAATAGGATGAAAAAAACATGTTTTGTAATGCTTCCTTCACATTATGAGTGTAAAGTGTCTTTAAAGACCAGCTTAGTGACTTATTCTTATCTTTGGTTTTCTTCATCCTCCTCTTGTACACCACTTGAACCACTTGAACTTGTACCACCCTGGAAACGATCTCTGGAAGACTCTCACTCTTCTAGGAAACATCTCGCACCATCTGGACTTTCCGCTGCTTGTCAGGGAATTCTCATCTCATTTTGTACTTTCCTGCCTTTTGTAAATATTTTTATCTCTGAGCCTGTTGTGAGTCTTCCAGTCATATGATTAGCTGTGACAGATATGCTCTTATTTTAGTCAGTTTATTAATCCACATACTACTAAACAGCGTTTCTGGCCTCTGATATAGATAATTGAAACGATTGTGTATAGGTCTTAGTCAGCTATGCTCATGTGGAACCATCTGTTTAGACTGTAAGACTTAAAATGAAACTGCAATTGAGGCTTAAGTCTTACTGATACTATGTTAACCTCAGCTGCATCCTACTGAAACCCTAACATAAATTTATCTGCATGTCTGTAGATTTGTAACACATCTACCAAACGCAGCTTTGCTAACATGATCATTTGTCTTTGGTTCAGTCATAAAGGGGGTGGGTGTCTAGTTGGATGTCTTTGTCTCTCTTTGATGTCATTTCAAACACTGACACGTGCCAAAGATACATTTGCATTGCTTAAAACACTGAAAATAACCCTTTTCATTGCTCAATTATAACGGAAAAGCCTCTTTAAACTATTTGAAACATTTTTAATAAAAACTAAAAACAAATAAACATTACACCTATCCAAAAAAGGAAAGAAAAGCTGACAGGAAGTCAGCTTTTCTTCCTGTCAGCTTAACATGCGTAACATTTTGTCTCCTTTGACAAAATGTTACGCTGCTTCCTCATTGATCATTTGAGAGAATCATGACTCGTGGTGTAGTCCTGTTTGCGCTATTTTTGTTCTACATAATAGAAATACAAGGTAAGAACTTGTTCTTTTTTCACAGCTACTGTGTTATTTTTAAAGACCTTTTAGCAATACAAATCAAATAACAAAAAATAACAAAAAACGCTGTTTTCAGTAATGCCTTTATTTTAGTCATGATGCTAATAAAATTCAAAATGATACAGTAAATGTAGTTTCTACTGAGATGTTGATTTAGTAGTGTCTTCACATTTGTTGTTGGGGCATGGGGGGAACAATAACATATCAATACTGCCTTACTAGGATAATCTACTCAATATTAACATTACTTTGAAATAATACAGTGGTTCAAATGTAGTATGTACTTTAAAATATGACGTAGAAACACAAATGAATCATAACTCTGTACGCTCTAGATACTGGAAATACTGGAAATGTCTGGCTGTATGTTGTGTATAATATATGTATATTATATTTATCTCTGTGTCAAATGAATTTCTTCTGCTGCACAGCAAAAACCCAACGAGGAAACCAGAGTTGGAAATAACTTTTTTTCTCCTGCACATTTCAGTATTTCCTTTGTACTGTTTGAAAAAATATTGAGAATTACTACACATTTGAGTGGAACCAGCTGTACGTTTGCTGGCATGACTGTCATAAGATGTTCTTTTAATTTTTATGGCACCAATTCATAACCAGTCAGACAGGCACAGTATAAATTTCTTCATTAACACACAGCAGACTCATGAGTTGATGCTAAAAGTTTTTTGGTCATCTTCTACACTTTGCACAGCTCAGCCTGTAAGGTTTATTTGGTGGCTTAGTTTGTAATAATGCTGCTCCCCTCGTGACAAATCTTGAGCTCCACCAGAGTCTCAGTGCTCAGTGCCCAGCAGTTTGTATGAGAAGGGTTTACCCCTCTATTAAAAACATACCGATTCTATCTTGATCTGAATTACCTCACTGAGAGAGACAGAGAGAGCGCTTTCTCTTCCGTATCTTTATCGGGTCTGCTGGAGTTTTATTCATTAATTTTTGCTGCTAATGCCAGAATGCTGGTTATTACTGACGTGTACTGGCTGGATTTTATTTCTCCTTAAATTATGGCTCAAAGTTAGTATCACCCTGTGGCTTTAGCATCACAGTAATTTACCTCACTGTCTCAATCTTCTCTTGATTTAGCTCTTATCTCAGCTAATCTGAAGCAAAAATGCATTTATGATGACACAAACTGTATTATACTGAGCCTTAAACACACTTTGATCAGTTAATAAACATCTTAATCTTATTTTAGAAATCTTACATCAATCTTGTTAATGCAAGACAACAACTTGACAACAAGCAGCTTTTATTATAGCAGCATTAATTTAACATATTGTTTTTAAAATTTTATGTCATTTAGCAAGTTATGCAAGGAATTTGAATATGGAGTTACAGTTAATGTTTGAATAATCTGTGCTACTTTGCGCCACCGTCCAATCATTTGTTTTCATGAATGCTCAGCTGGTCTTTCATTATCAATTATGGGACTGCATTTTCTCCTCTTATTTCATAAAGGATGATCACAGTGCATCCTTTGCTAAAGTAATAAATTAATAAAGGAAGCACTCAAGCTTCCTTTCCTTAGGAACTGAACCGATCAAACAATTCTTAATATGTCCACCACACAGATAGGCCACTTCAGTCATTTAGGAAACTTCTTAAGCAAAATGGACTATTTGAAATGACCGAAGAAGTTTCTTATTTTAGCAATATTGCACAGATGAAATAAGGCAGTCCTAAGTTGTTTTTTTTTAATGAGTGCAATACTGGGTTACTGGAGACCACAGTAACCCCATTCATATAGGGTTAGGGATGTGATCTGTTTTTACTGATTAACAATACATTGGTATCATCTTCATAACAATAAAAATAAATCCAGTGTTTCATATATAAAATAAATATGAACCCAGTGCAATAGGTATTCTATTGCTATATTTTGATATCTGTAGTACAGGTCTCTAGACTAACTTTTTGCCACAGTTGCACTGGTGCACCTAACTTTTTCTCTTAGGTGCCCCAGCACAAAAGTTAGGTGCACCCAAATTTTTCAACTACATTGCTTAACACCGCAGTTTTACATGTTCACTTTAAAACAAAATTGCTGTCTATGCAATATTGATTTGTGAATGATTAACTAACAATCTTGTCAACACAAAGTTCTTTATTTGGAGCACAGTTCTACAGGACGGATAAGTTACAGTATTTACCACAAGGCGCACCGGATTATAAGGCGCATTAAGCAAAACAAAACTTTACTCAACTCATTCTTCTTGCTTCCTCTACTTCCGTACCATTGATTCATTAATGTTGAATTCTCTCACAGCTGCTCTATTCCCATGTTCTACTGTGTGACTGATAGAGTTTGAAATCCGCTTCGTAAGCACGTCTCTTAACAGCTGCCATTTTGGGGTCCTTATGCACACACAATACGGTAATATTATGTTGAAGCACGGCTCTGAGAGGCTCGTGACTGCGGTAGCCATATTGCTCCGACAATCCGTCAAGCGGTGCGGCTTTGTAGCTTACCAAAGTCGTACAAAAACATTTTGACAGATTATTGAGCATCGTGTACCAAATAAAATCACTTTGTGATCAGTAAGCACAACCAGAATTGATACTTAAGCGCACTTTTGAGAACATTAAATGATTTTAAGTGCGCCTTATTGTCAAAAAATACGGTACTAAAAAACTCTTGTGCTTTAAGTGCTTCATTGAGCTGAAATTTAAGCAGAAAATATCTCAGGATATATAAAATAAAAAGAAAGTCAAAATTAAAAGTGCCTCAAAGGCTTCGAACTGAACATCTATCTCTATCTGAACATCTTACCTTGGGCGGGCGAGCCCAACGTGTTGCTTGGGCATGGGCATCTGAGAGCTTCTATCTATGATTGGTTTAGGCCACGATATGACAGAGACTTTCAGAGTTGAGAAGACGCACTGGTGTGACCTAGGATTTATTTGGCACATTGGTGGAATGTGCAGCTGTTGTCGCGCACTTTTGGATTGTTGTGGGAATTCCCTACGTCATTTCCTCTTTCTGCGCGTCTGTGCAGAGACAAGCGTGACACACAAATCAATCAAACAGTGCAGCACGGATTCGGTGCTGCGGCGCTTCAGCGGCTCGTTCAGCTAATCTAAGCAGCACCTTCATAATTGGTTTAGGCCACGAAATGGTCAAGTTGTCTGCTGTTGGCCACACAGAGACTTTGAGAGTTGCAGAGACTTTTTTTTAAAACTGGAATAGCTGGTCGCACCAGTGGGATCGGCCGTATCAGATGCTGCAGTGAGGTCTAACAGGACAAGCACAGAGGCCAAAGAATCATTCATTAGTAGGGATGGGTATTGATAAGATTTTCACAATTCCGATTTTCGATTCTGTTTAACGATTCGATTCTTTATCGATTCTCTTATCGATTCTTATTTTTAAAAAAGGAGAACACTAAGGTTGAATAGCTTAGAACTTTGTTTTTTATATCTTCTCTTTGAAAAAGATAGAAATTTAGGAGTAACATGGCCTTACAAACCCAACAGTGAGATCTTAAGAGATCCACAGCCTACGGCTCTTCAATGGGG